GCCCCTACGACAGGATAGGGCCTACGCGAGGCACGACTTACCTCCACCTTACAGGAGCTGTCACCTCCCTTCGGTGGGCGTATCCCCGCCGAGCTACCAGTCCACAGTACGAAAGCTGATCAGTTGCAATCACAGAGGTGGACCAGCCGAGGGCGTTTCTCGTTCGCTGTAGCATAGGGGGTACGCGCGGTATTACGCCTCTATCGGACCCGCATGCTAACCGCCATCTGGGGGGGCTGAGGTCCCAAGCGCGACTCATCGTCGGTCGACTAGGACGCATCCCACACACCACGCGCACACCACTATAAAGAACATAAAAATAGAAACACACCTACCTATACATACACATACAAAACTACAGAGCACAAACAACGCGACAACACTCCTAGTCCCTTAGTAACCATCCCATAACTTTCCGACGCGGAAATCGGATAGGCGACGCGCGCGAGGCTCAGTATAAAACCTCGCGGACGCAGGGTTAACCGATATCGACTCGCAATGCAAGCATGCGCAAGCAGTCGCAATGATGGCGTACTATGTAGTACCCATACTAATGCGATCCTCGTTAATATCGAGGGTCGCATTCGACACTCAAGTGTCGACTGACACGCGCTTCAGGGTTAATCTCTCGACGCTGGACAACCGCCAAATGCGGTTGACAACCACACCCTCTTCTGCACCCTGCAGAGAGTGGGTGGTACACAAGTTCATACCTGTGCTGGCAATCGTCTCTTATTGCCCTGGAGACCAGCTCCATCGCCCAGGGTCTGGAAAGAAGTCAAGGGGTTTGACTTTGACGGCTGCCACGGACTACAACGTCCAACTATAAAAATTAACAAGCGAGATCAATCAATAAATGAACATCCCGATTCTCATATATCGATTTAGGACTCGGGATAAAATAAGGAAAGAGAAAACATCAACCCATCAGGTATGCAGATTGTGCGACACATGGTTGTCATCCTTACTGCCTCCAAAGTATGACCCATACACCAAGCTTCAAAATACTGATCTGCATAAAACACAGACACACACAATAGCCACATTGCCATACACCAATGTGGTCAACTTTACTGTTCCCTGTAACTCACACCATACCTCACTTAGTCAAGCCCAAGTCATAGTACAACTTTTCATAAATCTCATAAATTCTTTATAATGACCATTTAAAAGAAGTCCGGTTAAAACCCTCAAAGAAACATATCAAATCACAGGGCTAAGGCAATCAAGCTGAGGAACAGGTGTAAGCAAAGTTGTTTCATGAGCCGACAAGTCGGCGATCAACCAACGGACCTGTTATCAGTGATAACAGAAGATGATCCTCGTAGGGTGAAGCTGAAACTTAATTCAAATCCTAGATCGAATGCCCAAAGAAGGTCTGTATCATAAGACAGGTCAACGTCCAAGCTAAATCGTCAATGTATGGAGATCAAATCCCCATGACACGTTTTCACTCAAGACTCTCTTGTTAGTCAAGCCTAGGTCTACCCTCTAAGCCAGTGCCCAAAAGAAAGGTAGGCCTATGGCAAAATTTCCCCCATACAAAGTGGGTCGCCGAAGTCTCCACTTGTCAAAATATAGTCTATCTTCTCTAAACTAAGAAAATTTCGGCATCGCTTCTCATATGAAAAGTGCCTTTTCAGAATTTATACCAGCCTAAATATGAAAACAAAAATAATCTTCAACCCTTCAAAGTCAAATTTTGTCTAACCCCCTGAATTAGCAAAAAGTTGGGCAGCACTCCCTTTAGAAAAGAAGACTTCCCTGATTTTTACTAAGCCATATATATAATTTAGACAAGTTGAACTTTTGAAAAGTCAACTTTTGACTAACTTCTTGGATTTGCAAAAATTTCGGCAGCGCTTTCCATAGAGAAAGCAGCTTACCAAAATTTATACAAGCCAATTTTAGAATCTGAAATGACTTTAACTTCTCAAGGTCCAATTTTATCTAACTCCCTGAATTAGAAAATTTTTTGGCAACACTCCCTTTAGAAAAGGAGACTCTCCAAATTTTTACTAAGTCATATATGAAAGTCAGACAACTGAACTCTGAAAAGACAAAATTTGACTAACTCCTTGGTTTTTGTAAAAATTTCGGCAGCGGTTCCCGTAAAGAAAGTGACTTACCAAGATTTTTACAAGACCAAGTATAATAAAAGATCCCAGAAAATGCAGAATTGACCTAAGTAAAAATAAACTTAGCTCAGAAAATGCAGGAATTGAAACTAACTCCTATGGCTCTAGCACGTGGCGAACAACTAAAGCAACTACCTATCAAAAATAAAACTCAGACTAAGTAATAGCCTCACTTAGTCAAATGCACGCCAAACCACAAAGGTAAGTACTCTCACCAACCCAAAGTCAACTTAGCAGACAATAGTTCATAGTCTTTTAATGATTTATCCCTTTATACCCAGCTTACATAGGGCATAAAGCTAGACCACCCAACCTTATGGAACATGTCTAACTCAACCATGAAATATACACAAACACAGGGCACAACAACTTTTCTCTTCTTTGAGCATATGACTAGGCCATCCTAGTCGCCAGAATCGTTTAAATATCAAAACTTTATATAATTGCTTGCACTTAGTTTTTTGAGGTACCATATAATTGAACCGATCATCTTCAGCTCAAGATTCAGTCTGCCCTTTGTACCACAAGTTTTATTCTTAATTAGCACTCTCTTCAGATTGTGATAAGCTATAGTCAGACCACCCAAACTTATGGAACCCTGTCTGACTAGCCTGTTCATAAATAATATAATAATTGGATACCCTTCAGGTTCCAGCAGGTGCGAGGCATTGGACCAAAGTCACTCAAACTTATGGAACTTGTGTGGTCCTTTGCCTGATTCATTCTCTTAAAACCAAAGCAAAAAGAAACTAACATAACCCAAAGTAAAACAAGGCCGCCAGACTACCCAAACTTATAGATTTGATTGGCTCCTGAAAAGTCAACCACAAGCAACCCTCACAAGTCAGAGCAACAAGACCACCCAAACTTATGGAACATGTCTGGTTCTCCAGTCAATTCAAAATAAACATAGCACTGGGTCTCCCCAAACTTATGAGGACTTCCCAGCCTTAATGACCCCGTCAAACATGCAATACTGCCTTCCTCCCACTTTCCCCCAGATGCAATCTCACAATTTGCTTTCAGTCAAACAACAAAACAAAAACTGAGATTGACATGCATTTCCTTACTTTATCTTATTAAATCCTGGAAAGAAAGTAAAATCCTAGGGCCATCACATGCATACGTCAGTCAAACTAGAGGGAAATAGTCAAACATGGGTAAAGAAGGGTCATATAGACAGAAAGACATATACCTGATAGTTCCCTGCCTCCAGAACTCCTCCCAAGTTCCGGCAGAGCTCCCGCAATCGGTGGGTTGACTCCCCACAGAGCCTTGCTGCGGTCCTACGGGTTGCAATCCCGCCTGCCGCCTTCCTCTCATAACCAGGATTAGGCTGAGAGTAAGAAGGATAGAGTGAGGGGTTTCAGACTCTCGAGATACAAGAGGGGGACTGACTCAACTTCCAGGAGAGGGCCTTGTAATCTTCATGCGCCTGAGGGCCTTACAATGGTGGCCAAAACGCGGAGCAGCCTGGTCAGACTGAGGTCAAATCATTAGTTGCTGACTTTCTGACGACCCTCCAACTCGCGGTAATAACCCCCTTCACAAGCCTGATCGTGCCTCCAAGTCTCACTGCCTTGATCTCAAACGGCACCGCCACTTGACACTAGAGCACATCTCCCTCACACTATATCAAAATGCTGGTGATGCGTAGTCAACCCCCAACAAAACACAGCCTACTTAGTTAACTATAGTCAAACTGCCACCTGTTGACTCCGTGACGACTCTCCAATTTGCAGCAATGATCCCCTTTTGCTAGCTGGATCAACCCCGCTGCGCAGTCTAAGAAGGTTGCCAGCGCCCATAGCAACCGTGCTCAGCAATCAGCCCTGTAGCCATGCATCAGCGTCATGCTATATAGCACATACACAACTAGTATATGATAAGTACCGCCAGCAGCGCAGTGGAATATCGCAATAGGCCGCGCAAAGGCTGCAACAGCAGCAGCATCGGCAAGTCAAAAGATGCACTGGCACATTCCAGTCGTCCATCTGCAGTCGCGACCAGTCTGTTATGCCGCTACTGGCAGCTCTTTGTTCAGCTCTTTGTTGGCAACGCACCGTGATGAGACCTGCACCCCCAATCTCTTCTAGTCCCATCAGACTGCACTCAGCAGTCTTTCCCTCAACAACGACCCTAATCAGCAGCAGTGGCAGCAGTATACATCATGCTCAACCCCCACGATGCGAACTCAACTCTCCTCTTCTGCGGCATTCTGTGCCCTGATCATGATTACAATACCATTCTGCCCCAACGTCGAGCAACAACACACAATCAAAGATGCGGCGCACTCAGCCTTCACACGAACCAACAAGGCATCATAAGGATACAATGTGCTGGATACAATGAACTGTAACTGCTGTGTACTTCAAACACAGTTGCTGTCGTCAATCCCCCACTTTTCTGCGCCTGGCCAGTTCAACGCACCAAAACCCGCCTATCCACAATTTTCGTTGATCCTTTGCCGGTACGCAGTTCGGCACCATAGCTCGCCCCTTGGGTCATCCGCACTGCCCATAATAGGCCCAACCTCTCCTTCTTAATCCCTGCACGTACTTCGCCATGCTGCGGGGTCCACTCCCGAGGGCATCGGATAGGAACAGTGACTCACGATCTCGGTGACTTTCCGCTGTTCCTCAGACATGTGGAGGAATGGTGAATCTGCCTTGAAACATGCGTAGACTCTCGCTGGATCATTCGCAGGTATACCCCATTATCTGGCAGTATGGCCGAACCTCCCGTTTATCTCGCATCGCCTGCACCCTTGGTCCGAGGCCCTGTCCTATGTCTGCTATCCAAAACTGAACCTCGCACTTGGCAGGTGGCCAGGTTCACCAACCCCGGCGTGTGTGAGCACAAGGCTAAGCATCTATCTCCAGTTAACAGTCATAAGGACATACGTGAAGGCTGATATGGGCTTTGTGACGATCCCTCCTACTGCATGTCGCTGCATGTACTCTGAACGAACAAGAACGACCGATCCCGAAATAAGCAGAATCCGGAATGAATCCTCCGAAAAACATGGAAATGTGCACTGCTTTCCAGTCATGCACGCAGACAGTTAGAGGGAGGCTAACCCCATTGATAGGATTAGCAATGCTCCGACCGACAGGTAAGTCTCCAGCTCCCTTGATTGGCCTCAGCAACCGTCAGATCCGAATCTGCCTCTTCCTCCAACACACACATCCCCTTCAAAAGCTGGGATATGCCGCTCATATCAGTTTTAGAATTTCCACCAAGTAAGATGGTAGCTGTCTTAGTAGCCACTCACAGTTCAATCAGTGTAGGGTGCCCATACTCAGTCGGGCGTGACTCAGTCTGCTGAGACACGCATATGACTACTGGCAGAATCAACCAGGTATCGTAATACAACAGACAGTCTTACGAAGTGGTGGCGGGAGGCGCATAGACACATCACCCCGACCGACACCTGTTCACCCCACGCTCTGAGATTACAAGACTGCCATACCGCCCAATCAACCAGCACACCCGCACGGTAGGTCCAGCCTTGCCCCTCTCTCTCCCTCTCTCTCTCTCTCTCTGCTGATCGCGCACTCCCGTGCCTCATACCCACACTCTGTCCTCGTATAACCTGGCCGACAGTTTGGCGCTGTAGTTCGATGTTCGGCCCATCCCACGCTGTTGTTCTGCCATACACGCAGGGAGATAGAAAGCAACTTCCTCCCTGGATAGAAGAGCAACGCGCCGCCAAACAAGTAGGTCTCCTCAGTCACCATGCTCGTTTTCCACCACACGTACAGATGGGGACGAACCTCCCTCTAAAGTATAAAAAGATTTGCGGCCACGCTCTGAAACTTCTCGTAGTTGCTCCGCAGCTCCTACCAGCCACTCCAGCGGAACCACCGCTCGAACCGAGAACCTGGCACGGCCGTTAGATTCGTGACGTGCCAAGACCTCGAGCTACTTCTTTCCTCGCCCGATATACGATACGAGAATGAATCTCCCGCTAAAACGGGGAGAGATTCATCCACCGATCGGAAGCCATCCGCCCCGCACGCTGCCCCAATAAGTCACATCGTTGAGACTGACCACTAGCTCTGATATCCGATTTTACTATCGGCTTCGCCCATCACTAAAGCCCATATAGTGCTAACCCCTCCCCTTGATCCTATCAACGAACCAACGAGTCAACTAACTTCTAGCCCGCCATCTCCATTCTCCTCGACATGCTTTTCTCTGCTAACTCGTAATCTACTAACTTATTGATCAAACTAACCGTTCCATTTGACTCGCCCGGGGCCAAAACCCCCAAAACGCATCCTCCCTGGCTCGATTCCGCCTAGTAACGAGGGAGGTACATGTCTTTCCATCCCCCCTTCTTCTCACCTTCGCCATCTCCGCGCAGCAAGTTCTTCTTCTACCTTCCTTTCTACTAACCTTTTCCTAAAACTAACTACGTAGTTGGATTCGCCCACCCTTGAAACCCCCGTTTCAAATCTTCCCCCGCCCGTTTTCGTTGAGAAACGGGCGAGCTATCTACTTTCCACCCCGCCATCACCGTCTTCACCTTCCGATTGCATCTTGGCGCGGATCCCGCCCAGGTTCATTCGTTCTCCCCTTTTTTTTTTTTTTTCGTTCTTTGCTACACGTCTCTCCTCCTCTGCTGCAATTCGTGCGCTAACCCAGATGCTACTACGGGCGGTGGCTGAATATAGGCAGCGGGGCGGTGGCACAACGAGCGAGGTAGATCTCCCCTCCCTCGTTCCCCTCGTGCATCCGATCTCCTTGGTTTCCGTCCCCCCCCCCCTTCGGCAGCTCAGGCCTACTGCGCACGGCTCCTGTCGGTGCCAACCCCAGCCACTGTAAAGATGATACAGACAGCAGCTGGTGGCCGTGGAAGTCGAAGTCTGCTACGGCGTGTGTGATAACTCCCTTGTTGACCCAATCGGCCCAGAGAGTGGCCGGCACCAAACGGGCAACCTGCATTCTGCTGTCGAGGCTGCTCCTATGCTGCCACGAGTGGGAGGCACAGGCCCTGCAGCGACGCCCGCAGCGTGAGCCAGGTGAGGCGGGTCCCCGTGCAAATCTCGGTGGTTATAACAAGTATTCCCATGTATGAACCGGGCCACAGTGCGGCTTTCCCCTGGCCCACTGTGCCCAACACTCAGTTCCCACTGTTCGGGTTCCAACTGTATGTTCACCCCCAACTGATCCCCAACAATCAGTGGGACCGGGCGTGCTCACACTCAAACCTCTTACAACAGATCGTGGTGGCAGTAGCAAATATCCAAACGAGAACTTTGAGGGCTGAGGTGGGTGCGGGTTCCGTGGAAACTGTGGCTGCAGCGGGTACCGCTGCAGGCCACTGTTTGGCGCCCCTTGTGCGCAGGCGAGTTCACCATCATGCGGTACCTGGCCGACATGCTCTCTCTCAAGTCTCTCACAGCATACCGTGTCCGGTGAAGGGTGCACCCGCAGCGACCCCCCTACCACCCTCGAGCTACAGTCCCACGGGCTCGCTTAGAATGTTTTCCAATCCTCTTCCACTCTATACTATCGATGCTCTGCAAATGGAACGCAAGGGAAGCCACAACCACGGACCCCGCCACTACGGCTTCCTCCCGCGCCATGGGCCAAGCCCCCGGTGGCCTTCTTGCGTGTTGACCTCCTCGGTCCATGTTTCAAGACGGGCAGGATAGGGGAACCTCGTCAATCATCCCGAGCACACAGGAAGTTCAAACGGGCCCGCCAAAAATGAGGCGCGTATTCAGGGTCCTCGAATACCGCGACGACCACCCATGTTCGGCGACGTAGCAACTGAGCCAGGCCTGTTGGTCCCAAAACCAACCTCGGAGCTGATCACCGAGGTAAAAACAATAAAAAATGCAAAAATAAATAATAAAATTAAAGTTAAACGCCGCCCGTCCCTCTGGCTCGTGACGACGCGCATACCCAAGTTTCACCTGGTTGCGCCTCGCCGTCAATACCCCGCGCGCGCCGCTCACCCAGGCGAGGGACTAAGCTTTCTCTCGTGTGCTCGCCGTCGGACGACGAGGCTGCACTGGCGCAACGTGCAGAAGACACGCCAAATACCCTTGCAAGGGTATTTGGTACGACAATGTAGCCCTGACTTTTCTCCTGGGGAAGTATAAAAAATGATATCTTATGTATTTTCCTTAATTGTTGGTGGAATAGAAATTAGATTATTGCTAATGGAGTTGAGTACGAAACTAGGTCATAGGGATCCATCAACTGCCTTGTAATTAACAAGTGGACCAGCCGCGACTTCGCTCACGGGTGACGCAACAGTGAGGTGCTCTCTCTCTCTCTATGTGTGTGTGTGTGTGTGTGTGTGTGTGTGTGTGTGTGTGTGTGTGTGCAAAAGACAGAAAAACATAGCAGTGTATCTTTCCGTGTTCCAGCTGAAGATTCATTCTCATTTTCCCCATTCACTGAGTAGCGGACCAAGCAGATCACTCCTTGCAAGCCGTTGAGAAAATGGCAGGAAAAAAATGAAAAAAGAAAGCATTCCACAACACCGAAACTGTTTCTGGAACGTTGGGACAGTCGTGCATCGAAGAAAAAAAAAAAACTCCTCACCCGCCTGCCTGCTTGCCAAATGACATTTCCTATAGGTTATTATTTGTGTCTCTTCTCCAACATTGTCCACTTTGCCCTATGCAACTCCATAAAAAAACATGACTGTGCCCTCCTCCCTTCTGATCCCTCCATTCTTAGCTTCCCTCATCCCCCTCCGCCATCCTTGTCCCTCCTCCGTCTCCACCATCGTCCTCTTCGACTTGTCATCCATCGCCCTCTTCAACTTAACGTTGTAATCATCAGGTGTTATCCTTGTCCTCGTCATTGTCATGTGTGTGTGTGTGTGTGTGTGATGTCATGTTCGCTCTATGCACCTCCACAAAAAAAAGCACGGCCGTGTTCGTGGTTGTTGTCCTCAACCCCTTCACCCTTTCCCATCCTCCTGCTCCCACTGGTTATGTCGTCCCTCTTCCTCCAGTCCCTCCTCCCAGTCCTTGCTACGTCCTCTCCCCCCTCACCGCGCTCTTCCTTCTCCCCCCACTTCTCCTCCTGTTCATTTTTGTCGTCCTCCCACTCCTCATCCCTCCTCCTGCTCCCGCTTGCTATGTCGTCCCTCCTCTCCCTCCTCACCACGCTCCTCCGCCTCTTCGTGTCCGTCATCCTCCCCCTCCTACTCCTTCCCCATTGTCCTGCTCCCGGTTGCTATGCCGTCAC